ACATCACCGCCACACCGCTTCTCAGCACAGCACCGTCACACCGCTCCTCAGCACAGCACCGCCACACCGCTTCTTAGCGCAGCACCGCCACACCGCTTCTCAGCGCAGCACCGCCACACCGCTTCTCAGCGCAGCACCGTCACACCGCTTCTCAGCGCAGCACCGTCACACTGCTTCTCAGCGCAGCACCGTCACACCGCTTCTCAGCACAGCACCGCCACACCGCTTCTCAGCGCAGCACCGTCACACCGCTTCTCAGCGCAGCACCGTCACACCGCTTCTCAACGCGGCACCGCCACACCGCTCCTCAACGCAGCACCGCCACGCCGTTCCTCAACGCGGTATCGCCACACCGCTTCTCAGTCGTGGATATGGGCCCCCATCTCGCGCTAAGCATGTGGAGGTCCAGCGGCCTCTGCCGGTTGATGCGGCTGTGGGCAGCATCAGATGGGTCCAATATCCCACCCTTTGATCCCATCGCCACTTGGCCAGCGTTCTGCCAGCTGCCTGCCGGTGCGTCTGCTGGCTGGGCAGTGAGCACCTGTCGACGAGTTTTCCTCGCTCCCCTCTCTCCAGTTACACTGGGCTCCTGGTATGCGTCCGCTAGTACGCCGTGCGCCCGCCACCAGGACTCAGCGGCTTTGGGACGACAGACGCTGTCAAGCCCAGCCCCCGGCCGCCATATTAAGGCCGTGCGGCGCTCTAGTCCGTACGTCAGCGCCATGGGCCGGACGTGGGCCCGGTTAGGGACTTGACGCCGTAGCCCTGCGCCTATGATCTGTGCAGAGGGACGGTGCAGCGCGGCGCGGCCTGGCCTGGCTCCCAGCGCTGGACTGTGGCTCGCGCTGTGCGGGCGAGCAGGCCGGCTCTCAGTGGGCCCCGTCAGCAGCCCCCCAACCCTCCCCCCTCCTCCCCCCTGTCACCAGCCTGCCGCGCCTTCTGGCAGCGCCGGAGTTGTATCAGTCGGTGTCGGATCCGGCGAGAGTGAGTTGGATGCCCTCTCGGCTCCCCACGCCTGTGTGAGTGAGAAGGGAGCTCACTCGTCTCCGCGCGCGCCTGTGTGCGCGGGTAACGCGAGATGCTGACCGGGGTAGTGTGGTCTTACTGTCCGCCTGGCGTGCAGCACACGTACAGAAGCTATTCCCTTGGGGAAGGGGGAGGAACTGAGCTGACGATGAACTATGTAGTAGTCACAACATTCATCGTACGGCCATTGCCAGCAGTGTTGTCATACATCCGGAAGAATACCTTTCGAGGTCTGTATACCTCTGAGCCACTGTGGGCCACGGTTACAATACTTGAGTTTTCTAGGTTTATCAGAGTAGGAAAATTGATGCTCCAAATACGCACATGCGTTAGTTTTTCATGTGTTACACATGACGTAGAATCTGATGCAGAGCAAATGTGCTACGAAATGCAAATTCAATTTTAAGATGCCTTTTGGCGCTCTGCACCTTGGCACTGCAAAAAGAAATGTCCGTGAAATTCATCACTCCAGCTCTGGAACCGTAAGGAGGAGGTCGACCAGGCCAGTGGAACGATTGTATCTAACCCCGGCGCCGGTCTGGTCCGGTCAGCACCACGATACGTTTGTGCGGCGCGGTGCTGGCCGGCCGTTAGTTACCCTGCGCCTGCTCGCGCGCCCGAGTGTGTGTATCGACGCCGGTGCCCCACAGGCCCGGCATCGACGCCCGTTACTGGCCGCAACGGACCGCTGCCGCGCCGGGCGGCGTCGCTCCAAGCGGGCTGGGGACGGCGGGCACCGCGGACCACAGGCTGGGGACTGCAGGCACTGCGGACCACAGGCTGGGGACTGCAGGCACTGCGGACCACAGGCTGGGGACTGCAGGCACCGCGGACCACAGGCTGGGGACTGCAGGCACTGCGGACCACAGGCTGGGGACTGCAGACACTGCGGACCACAGGCTGGGGACGGCAGGCACCGCGGACCACAGGCTGGGGACTGCAGGCACTGCGGACCATAGGCTGGGGACGGCAGACACTGCGGACCACAGGCTGGGGACTGCAGGCACCGCGGACCACAGGCTGGGGACTGCAGGCACTGCGGACCACAAGGCTGGGGACGGCAGGTACTGCGGACCACAGGCTGGGGACGGCAGGCACTGCGGGCCACAGGCTGGGGACTGCAGGCACCGCGGACCACAGGCTGGGGATGACCAAGTCCGGGCTTGCCGTTCAGTCATGTCCTGGCTGGCGCACCAGCGCCCACACCGCCTCTGCAGCGGATTGTTTTCATGGCGGCGTCCATAGGACAGGTGCTCTGGTCTTAAGACTCCCGTGACCGGCAGTGGCCGCGAGCGCTTGGGGCAGGCTGCTAGTGAGGTGGACTGCGATTGTGACGCATCCAAGACATTTTCAGACAAGCGTCAGCGCGAGCAATGCCATAGTTTGACGCTTGTGTTGACTATCACGCTAGCTTCTAAGAGTATGCGTGCCTAGTTCTTGTGCTGTTTTGAGCGTATGACGCAAAGCGCATTTGATGTACCGTTCTTTTCACTGAAAGTATCGTGCAGCTTTCAACGCTTATGCAACGCTGTCGCAGCGTGATGCCGGTCAGCGAGCGGTCGCTTTGTCGGCTGATGCGAGCTAGATTTCACCCCACGCAGCGAGGCCACGTGCGCTGATGTCGCCGACAAAGCAGCACGCCGCCGACGGGCCGACATTCCCCGATTCCTTTGTGGCTTCAGGCGCCGGGGTGTCGCAAAGCGTTGATTGGCGACGTGGCGCGGTCGGCGGGTGCCGCTAGTGTCGCCTGCGGCGTTCTCATGCTTCCAACGCACGGCAGTTGGGCGGTCGTGCGAGCCAGTTAGGGCGGCCTGCGGTGGCCGCAGCGTTCGTGGCGCTCACGGCGTGCTGGCGCCGACCTGCCAAAGCGGTCCGCTTTGCGGCTGTCACACGTACGGTCCGCCGCGTCGGCGCCGCCCGGTCAGATCCGTGCGCGGAACCGGGTCACTAGAGCACCGCCGCTGCTGCCATCTAGCGTCACGAAAGAGGACTAGCAGTTTGCCTCCTGGACGCCGATGTTTGCCAGCTGGAGCGGACGCGATGTGGAACACGGGGCACGCTCCGCGAGTTTCACCGGGGCAATAGAAAGCTGGCTGATGACCTCTGTTTGCCCGTGTGCCGGCACCTCCGTGGCCTCTGGTACGGCGCCGTTTTTGGTGTCGGCACGAAGGTGACCAAATCACGTCCACTGCTGGAAGAAAACAGCTGCCGGACTCCCGGCCCCGTCCCTCAGCTGCCGGACGCCCCGCCCCGTCCCTCGACTCGACGCCGCGGCTAAGCTCGTTGCGACGCGTGGTGGCGGGCGCGATCGGCAGTTCCGGTCGGCGCGGCGCGGGCCGGCACCGTGCCATGGGGCACCGCGTGGACGAGGGCGGCCCGGACCTTCTCCAGTGGGTCGCCCTCGCTCTCACCGCGCCCGGGTGGCGTGGGATTGGACGGGCGCTGGAGGGTGGCCGGCTGCTGCCGGCCCGCTGCCGGCCCGCCGGCTGTTGGGGCTCGGTGGATGGACGGCGATCGCTGTGTACGGGGCTTGTCTGCTTAAAAGTTTTGTGGGATGGCAGTTCGCGTCTCGCTCCGCCATTTTTGTTGTCATCGCGGCTGCGGGAGGTGCCGATGTACGCTGCACGTTGTTCATGTGCTGCGGTAGCGTTGTCTTTTGTTTAGTACCCTCATTCGGCTAGATATTCGTCTTGCTTTATGGGATGGAACACGGTCATTCATTCAGCCCAAAACAAATTTGACTTAATCTCTCACCACGATTGTACCATGGAGCGCCAGAAGCACAGCCGATGGCTGGTACCGAACCCCCTCCTCACGGTTGCATGCCCCATGAGTACAGCGGTCCGTACGGGAGTGTGACCGCTGGCCCGGCGACGGCGGCTGATCACGGCGACATCAACAGGGAACGGTCCAGCGGCGGCCGGCTTGGCAGCTCGCCATTGGCGCCGCAGTCGGGAAAAGTCTGCGTCACGAACCAGGGCTAACGGTCGTCACATCCGTGTCCGTGCTGGCCGCGAGCGCCGTCGCCGACAGGCGGAGCATCCTCCGCGTGCCGTGCCCCTCCCCTCGCACTCCCCTCGGCGTGTCCGTGCCCCTCTCCCCGGCGTGCACGCCCCTCCCCTCCCGGCGAGCGTCCCCTCCCCCCGCCCCAATAAAGCCCCCCCTCCCCGCTGCCCTCGCGCTCGGGGTCCGCTGGTAATCTTAGCACCGACATTTCACTTTTATGACGGAGCCGGCCATGGCGTGGAAGGCGGCGACCTGGCCCGTGACTGGATGCCAGCGGAAATTGGTTTTCGGGAACGACGGCATCGGCTGCGTCTCTGGTGTCAACTGTTGTTGACGGAGCATTGTGCGATGTGTGTGCTGGGGATGTCCCGCTGTCATCCCCACATGTGTGTGCTGGGGCTGTCACGCAATCATCCCCGCATGTGTGTGATTGGGATGTCCCGCTGTCATCCCCACATGTGTGTGCTGGGGCTGTCACGCTGTCATTCCCAGATGCGTGTGCTGGGGCTGTCACGCAATCATCCCCACATATGTGTGCTGGGGCTGTCACGCTGTCATCCCCAGATGTTTGCTGGGGCTGTCACGCCGTCATCCCCATATGTTTGCTTCTATGTCCCCGTTTGTGCTTCAATTTAGCTGTCCTATCTAACCTGTGACCCGTTCGTCAGGTGTGGTGGACGAGGTAGCCACCCAGTGCATGCATCACTACCTCGTCTGACGATGACTGGTCGTTTGTGCGATCCGTCACACCGGCTGGTGTCTGTCCGGCTCGCATCCCAGCGATAGATAGGCGAAGGAGACTTATTACTGTCACTGGCCTTACTTTCGTGACCTGGCACTGGCCATCGTCTGTGGCTGGGCCTGCCCGGCCGCCGACGCCCCCTGCCTGAAGCCTGAGCCGTCCCCTGCCTGAGGTCTGAGCCGTCGTCGCCGTCGCTGACGCTCACCTGTCCCTGCGCTGTCGGCAGGTACGCTGAACCCCTCGCTGCAGGACCGGATGGGCCGACCCAAGCGGGACATCAGCACCATCATCCACATCCTGAACGACTTGCTGTGCGCGTCGCCGCAGTACCGCGGCGAGGACGGCGGCGCTCAGAGCAAGCCAGCGCCGGGCGCGCCAGGTCCCCAGGAGCCGGCGCAGCCGCCAGGTGAGCGCCGATGCCGCCCGCCCGCGTCCGCCCACCGGTCTCCTCCGACAGGTGCCGGGACGAGCTGGCGTGTGAGCGCTGCGTTCACGCCCGCTGACAGAGCCGTCGGAGCAGCTCACAGAGCACCGCGGGCCAGCGTCCGCTGCCCGGGCCCGCAGGCCACCGCTCACCGTCTGGCGCCAACCCCGGAGGATCCGGACACCTTCCCTCCGACCCCTTGTAACGCCGTCACGGAACAGTCTGGGCTGTCGGCAAGCGGGGCGCCTTGTCTTGGCCTCGCCTGCGTGCTGCGGGCCGAGCTCGGTGCTCGGCGAAATGTCACCTGTTTAGTCCGTTAGTCCTTTCATTGTCACGCGCAGCTCGATGCGGCTCCCGCTGTCGGTCTCCTTCAACCTCTCCCAGCTGTACCAGCGCGTCGACACTGCCCCCAGCTGGTACTGACCCGTCTGCTGGCTGGGTTCGGCGCACTCAGAGCGTCTGCTGTGCCAGTGGGATGGTCAGAGGGCGGTCGCTGGCCGGCTGCTGACGGCCGGCTGCTGACCGCACGTCCGAGCCGGTGTCGGATTGGCTGCGCCATTCCGCTTGGCAGGGACCGTAACGCGTGCTGACCTTGTTTGGGGCGTGCTGCTAGGATATCTTCGCTGTGATGTATGTGTGGTGTGGAGCAGGAACTTTTGAAATCTGCGGCGTGAAGGGTAGTGTCCATACGTTTGCATTTGATTCTAAATGCGCCCCCGCCTGAAGATCCAGGGTGCACAGTTTCTTTCCACTGAACTGCGTAGACGCATGAGTCTGGAAAGGCGGGGTCGGCAACGTTTGTCGCCTCCAGCGGACGTCACGAGCCCGCTCCAGACCTGCCCAGCGCTATCAGGATATGGATGTGGGCGACGTTCGGTCCGGTGCCATGGCCCACAAAAACCGGGCGCCGGTCGGGCCGCCGCCCCTATCGCGGATCGCTGCGGCTCCGGTCCAGTTCCGTCTCTCCCCGGCGTCAGCGCGCAGATGTGCACCGATGCTTCGTGGCGTCGTCCTTTTTGCCTCGTTGGAAGAAAGAGTGTTGCGCGTTACGTCGAGTTTCCAAATGATGCCTTGCGTGGGGTCGAAAGTTGAACGAGCGGGTCTGTTGCCCTTCGTATCCGGTGGTCACTGCGTGTCTCGTTAGTCTGCCGATTGCTGGAGTTCACGGGACCGACCGGAGGCCGCACTGCCAACGGCACGCCTGGGGACAGCGACCGTATGTCGTGTCTGGATGTTGCCGAGGGTGAGGGCACGAGAGAATGTCAACTGCACCCCGCCATCCTTTCCCCATCATCGGTCAATAGTGATGTGTTTTACTGACGCGGCTGCATGTGTCGTGAAATAAGTGAAAACGTATTTGTCCCACCCTGACGGAATTTCATGCGAGCGCCGACAGAGCCTGGCCGCATCTGACCGCTTCGGGCCGCATCGTGTCCCCTTCACCCTACCCACCCACCTCCCACCCCGCCCCGCACCTCTGGTCGCGTTCTGACCGCCCGCCCGGCATATTTGCAGCCGAGCCGACCACGCTGGACGAGAACCAGGCGACACGCGGCAAGGTGGAGCGACTGAAGCTGGTGCTGGAGGAGCGTCGCCAGCGCCGGCGCCAGCGGCGCACGCAGCGCAGCGCCCCCTACACCACCAGCTGGTCGGCCACCTCGTCGCGGCCGGAGGCGGGCGGCGGCGCGGCGCGCGCGGCCGCCGACGCCAGCGACGCCGAGCGGCCGGACGTGGGTGGCGGCGCGGCGCCGGCGCTGGTCACCTGCGGCGGCCAGAGCGCCCTCTGAGGGCCGACCGGCCAGCGGCGGATGAGGCACACGAGGGTGCTGCCGGCAGGGCTTCGCGACGGGCCCGCACGGGAGCAGCCTCGAGACGGCGCTCGGTGAGCGGACGTCGCGCCGGTCCTCAGAAGTGGCCTTGCGAGCGGTTTTCTGAGGAAAGTCCTCTTGAAGATTGCCCTCGCGAGGGATACTTCGGGAATGTTTCGGGAATGTCTCGGGTTTTCTGAACATTCGTCCGCAGGGCACCGTTGAAAACGTTCATAGAATGGTTTCCTGCGGTTTCTCCTGAAAAGCTGCTCGTGAAGGGCTCCAGAGGGCGTCTTCCGAGGATCGGCGTCCTCATCGTCGGCCTCCGGCCGCCTGACGGGCACCGCCCGCCATCTGCCCAGCCGCCAGAGCTCGAGGCGCCCTCTGCGGGGAGCGCCGACACAGAGGCGAGCCCACCGAGCGCCGACCAGCCCCGCCAGACGGCGCTGCGGCCGACCCGGCGACGCCTGACTGCCGGGGTGCGCTCCGAGCGGGTGCACGAGTGACGAGTGCTCGTGCCGCCCCGCCGGGCGTGACGCGATGCGTGTGTGCCACGGGACCGCTGGGTCTTGTGCGCGTGGTGCAGTTGCTAATCGTGTTCTAGCTGTATGTCCAGATGCGCGGCGCTTTCTGAGGGTGCGCGGACGGGGCCGGGCTGGGTGCGGCCGGCCGCCGCCGCCGTGACCGAGTCCCGGTTGGTCGGACTTTCTGGGCACCCTCAGTCTCGCTGGCGGTGATGCGATCAGTGCGTCTGCACGTGCCGCGCGCGCGCCCGCGGCGACGGCGGCTCTGTCCGGCAGGACTCTGCGCCCGCTGAGCCCCTGGAGCGAGATGACATAGACGGCACCGTCCAGGCGCCGAGGCCGGTGCGAGGACGAGTCCATTTACTTTTGTGTGTTCGGGGGAAGTCGTAGCGGTTCTCTTTGCGTTGAACGAAAGCACCTCCGTCGCCGGAGAAACCATGCGAATGTTTATGACCTGCGGTGGCTTGTGGACCCAGCCCGCCCATCGCAGCGGTAACTTTTGAGCACAGAGCGTGGCTCTGGGGCCGTGGCCATGCGCAGATTGACACTTGCAATCTGCTTGGAAGCGGACATGTGCATGCGTTCTGTTGGCGCCCTGCGCGCGGGGCTCGCAAGTCGGACGCCATGGCCACGGCCGGCAGTCAGTGTGTTCACACCGAGGCGTGTAAATAAAGTTATGTCGAGAGTAAGCCGCTGTCTGCCCACGGGCTTTGGGGCGAAGTCGCACGGGCCAGCGGCATGGGGGTGATCATAAGTGGGGATTTGGGGCGCGCCCACATCTAGTCATTTGGCGCTCATGACCAAGTGTTTCGGGTCAGTGTATGGCGGAAAACTTGCCGTCATCAGGAAAGCAAATGGTTTTTGTCAGTCGAGTGAGAGTCATTTCCCAGAATACTGAGGCATTCTTTTGTCACTGAACTTATAAACTATCATTTTTTTACGGACATGCTTCTCAAGCTACGCTCAAAACAACAACACACGCATTTACGCATGGAGTATTACAGTCACGAACGGCCGCTGTCGGCGCCGGCGCGGCTCGAGACAGCCACTAACAAAAAAGACACGCTCATAGCAAACCACAGCCCATACCTCACAAACACCAACCACGAAATATTCGCGCATAAAGTATTAGCGCCAGTTTTCATACATGTCTCCTGTTGGGTAGTCAAACATCCGGCCTTCTCTGTTCAAATTTGCCCAGTGTCCCAATTATGGCTGAGATGTGCTCCACCTTCCTTCCGATACTCGATTTATTCTCGAGCAAAGCCGTCTTGCCCGTAAGTGCACTACTTCGATATCATATGTTTGCCGATTGTAACACTCAGCTTGGCTAACGCTCTGATCTCCCGCAAAGTAAAGCATCCTTGGCGTTTATCATCTGTCCTGGACCCAATAAGCCAATATCTCGAAGATATTGCGATATTGTGCTCCAAAAAGCTTCACTATAGCACACGCCCAGAACTTATGCAAGACAGTTCGTTGGGCACATTGCACTTGAGGCACACAATGGAATTGACTGACCTCATTTTTCGTAAAAGAATATTAGTAGCATGCGTCTCAGCGATATTTTTGAACTTCATTGATCTACTTTACTGAGCTTTGTTGCAGTCATATTATATTTTGCTCCTGTCCCACCAAATGCCATAGAAAAAGCTCTCCCATCTGGGCTCCTATACCTGTTGCGCCTCCTTTGTTTTTAACCGTATCAGCATTTCATATATTTCGTTCACCCATGTCTCTCCTACCAGAATGAATTTCACAAAGGGGCATATTACTGAATGTGGAATTCTTGTTTCTGCCCTTTTCCAGTAAGCCAGAAGATTACCGATTACCCCGAAGTAATCTAGATACGTCCCTTGAATTCCAAACGTAGTGCAGGATTCATCAAACGAGGTCAGCGAGCCATCATCTCTAAACAAATTATTGAAGTATCGCACTCCTTTACTGTGCCACCTCTGCAGCCCAGTGCATACAAATTTACTTTGATCAGAAAACCAAAGCGAGTAAGACCATAAATCACCTTCTTTGATGCCATACCCTCATAAAATAGCGCCAATGACATAATAATCTCCTTCCAGAAAGGATTTAATGTGGGATCTCCCACCATTTTAAGAGAGAGCGGATTCATTTCCCATATGTTATGTCTTTCCGTATGTCTTCCCAATGTCTTCTCATTTCCCATAGACAGTGTCTTCGCTTCGTGCGGTCGCAGATGTACTTCGTGGTGGTTCGTTTCATCTGAGTTTTTCAACAGGTTCGTGAAGTGTCTGGCTAGCTGAGAAATAATTATTTGTTGGTCTGTCACAGTACGCTTTGATGTTTGAATGCAAGTAATTAGTTTACCCGCGTGCTGACCCATTTCTAATGCTAAGAAGTATTCACTTGGCTTTTCGCCACATTCGTGCTACATGGCCCCGAACCGAACCAGTGCACCATTTAGCCTGATTCGCCTGCAATCCTATAGTAACTTCACTGTCTAATCTAAGCTGTTCGCCAAAATCTCATGTTTATTTTGGTCTAGCTGAGATTCAAGCTTACTTAGTTGTTTGGTTAAAATCCTTTCCTGTTCCTATTTAGCACTTTTTCTTCTGTACGCCACACATGAAATTGTTCTTAAACAGCTTATCAGATATAACGAGTTCAGCATACTATCTCTTACTTATGAGAAACTCTTTAGTATATTGGGGGACTGAGTGCTCCCGCACTGTTTAACGGATTTCATTCTGGACTAAATCAGCATACATACTGTCCCGCAACAGCGATGTCGTCAGCTTGTAAAGACCCCTACCTCGTGGCTGCTCTGTTAAGGTTAGGGTTAATGTTATAATAGAATGGTTTATCATATATCTGGCTTGTATGCCCGCATCCAGGTCTCCTTCCAGGTCATTGGAACATGAGAAGGGGTCGAGGCGTCCCTGTTTTTGGACTGGGTTTCTCACTTTCTATCTATATCTCTGAACATTCTCGTGTCTTGAACGGAAAACACACATTAACAACGCGCATTATGCTTGCACCAAGTCGCTCACTACTTCACCCTCGCCGGCGCCTGCCAGCCACCGCCGGGGTCGCTGCAGAGCACGGTCTGCACCCGTTGGCGGTCAAGGGCAAACTGAACATCGAGGCATTGAAGCGCTGGAGCACACCACCCAAGAAAGCTCAGAGGACGGCGTTGGTAAGCGGGCACGACCGGATCACATGATGCACGGTTAGTGGAGCACCGCTGGGAGAACACTGGAGACGCTTTGTCGCACAGTTTTTGACTGAAAGCCGGCAGCGTTCGAAAGCCAGTTATGGCGGTGAGCACGAACAGGGACTGCAGATGCGTCACAGCTATCGCTACGCGGACGATCCAGGGATCTAACGCTGTTTTACTTACAGTGGACTACTGTGCATTCCCCCGCGTGGGTCACGTCCTGGTTACACATTGTGCAGCGTCAAGATGTCAGCCGTGGCGGGGTTGCCGAGGCACGGTGGGGGTTGCAGTTTTATCATGCCACAGTGCACGTGGTTTACTCGTGAGCCCGCCGCCGACGTAGAGTTCATTGTTGCCGCGTTGCACCGATAAGACCGCTTGATGGCCGGACAGGTGTTCTGGCGCCACCGCTCCCGCCTGAGGACTACGCTCACCACCGCGCTCGGCGCGATACCCCCCCCCCCCCCCCTTGTGGCTGGGAATATGCAGTCCAGCTGGCGCTGAACCCCGCCATCTCCGTCGCTGCGCGAGACGCCGTCTCCGCCTCGGGCTACGACGCCGTCTCCACCCATGAACGTAGTGCCCAGTGCGCCACCTTCGTTTCAGTCGGGCCCTGAAATAGAAGAAGTTTCTGAACAACTGACCCGGCCCAACGCTCCCATAGGGCCCCGATGCGGTTGAATCTATAATTTCGCTGATCCCCAGCGCTCGCGCCGGACCCCGATAGTTTGTACGCTTAGGATTTCGCTGATGTCGCTTATAAAGGTTCCGGCCACTTCTCTGCGATGGCAAATCTCAGGTTGCTCTCCACCTATCATAAGCCAACAACCGCACACATTCTCCGCCAATCCCCAACCAGGAATTGCACTGGGTCCGATGTACTCGCATGAGCCAATATTAATCAGTCGTATTCCAGCGTGTTGCAGGCTCTCCGCAAACCAAATTTCTCACATTTCGCCGCCAGCCAGCCGGAACACAATGATACACTTCCCATCGCAGCGGGCATCGTCGGCGTAGTTTTCTATTGGTTAGTTATATCGGCACTTGATCACGTTAGGATGCATAACTACGTGCGATGATGCTGGACTCGAGTCCGCGGTGGGTTCATTTCCCGGGGCAGGAACAATTTTCCGCTGTATTCTTTTTTGCACGCTTACATCGACTCTTCTGGAGGATTTCATAGGTATGTACAAATATTTATGCGATGTTCATGCTATGCACACTTTGGCCATTATCAGTTTGACCACACGGTCATGTGCCGGTCGTAATGAGAACACATATGGACTTTCGACCGCCCCGTTACCATTGTCGGTTCCGGACATACGCTCCACGTATTTAGCCAGGGCCGCAAAGTGGCAGGTACCTGCTAGTCGGCCGTATGCGACATGTACCGCGTCGCCTAGAAGAGACCCCCTCGAAACAAAAATAATTTGATTTTATTTACTTTGTTTCGGGTGGCTCGGTGTTCTTTGTTTTAATTGTGTGTGTCACAATCTTTAGCTGAAACAGAAGCCACCGGAAAACACAATTTTACCAGCATTTATAAGATACAACACATGCAACATTTCTGCACCAACACAAGTCAACTGAGTCTGAACTTTGCACAGTGAATGACAACTAATGACGATTGTTCACATTGAGGCAATGGAAGGATGCTGTGCCAGTCAGGGCCCCAGTAACGAACCGTGGGCCTTTCGACACCACTCCAGCATGGGCCCGTTAAGCCGAGCTGGGGTCCATGTGGGATTTATTGGACCATCCCGGTTCAGCTGAGCGCGCCGCCATGCGC